GTATCCTAGGACCCAAGTTGTATCAACTGACAAAGTTTAATGATTCTTAGCCAATTAGGACTGAAAATATTTTTAATAATAAAGCTATAATAAACCATAAGTACATCACAGTGACCTATATTAAGATTGAAATTTTCTGAGGACTCAAGATGCATTAACTGACAAAGTTTGATGATTCTAAGCCAAAAGGTACCCGAGATATTCAAAAGTAGGTCACCATGACCTACTTTTTGATCGACATTCTCTAAAAACCAAAGATGCATCAATAAACAAAGTTTAGTGATTCTAAACCAGTTAGTACCATAGATGCTTAAATAAAGCCATAAAATGTCAAAAATTAGGTCACTGTGACCTATTTTTTGGACATCATTCTCCGAAAACCCAAGATGCATCAACTTACAAAGTTTGATGATTCTAAGCCAATAAATACCTAAGATACTTAAATAAAGCCATAACATGTCAAAAGTAGGTCACTGTGACCTACTTTTTGGTCGTCACTCTCTGAAAACCTAAGACACATCAACTCACAAAGTTTGATGATTCTAAGCCAATAAATACCTAAGATACTTAAATAAAGCCATAAGATGTCAAAAATTTAGTCACTGTGACCTACTTTTTGGACATCATTCTTCGAAAACCTAAGATGCATTAACTTACAAAGTTTGATGATTCTAAGCCAATAAGTACCTAAGATATTTAAATAAAGCCATAAAATGTCAAAAGTAGGTCACTGTGACCTACTTCTTGGTCGTCACTCTCCGAAAACCCAAGACGCATCAACTCACAAAATTTGATGATTCTAAGCCAATAAATACCTAAAATACTAAAATATAGCCATAAAATGTCGAAAGTAGGTCACTGTGACCTACTTTTTGGACATCATTCTCTGAAAACCCAAGATGCATCAACTTACAAAGTTTGATGATTCTAAGCCAATAAGTACCGTAGATACTTCAATAAAGCCATAAAATGTCAAAAGTAGGTCACCGTGACCTACTTTTTGGTCGTTAATCTCCGAAAACCCAAGATGCATCAACTGACAAATTTTAATGATTCTAAGCCAATTAGTACCCGAGATACTTAAATCTAGCCATAAAATGTCAAAAGTAGGTCACAGTGACCTACTTTTTGGTCGACATTTTCTGAAGACCAAAGATGCATCAACTGACAAAATTTGATGATCATAGGTCTAATAGTATTCAAAATATGCCTTTTAAACAATTTAAAAACAAATGCCTGCAAAGTTCAAAAAGTAGGTCACATTGTCCTACTTTTTGGTAAATATGTTTTAAGGCCTCTAGATGCATCAACTTACAAGATTTGGTGATTCTAAACCTCTCGGTGTCTGAAATAATGGGATTAAATGTTTTAGAAAAGATTAGCAATAAAATTCAACAAGAGGCCCATGGGCCACATCGCTCACCTGAGAAGCTTTGACCATTCTGTTCTTTACCAGATTTCACCCTTGTTATACATAATGCATCCCCACATTACCCCACTGATCATAATTTAGACATTTTGAAATCTACACTACCCCATGATCCTTCCATTGGCACATATGTTTCAGCTTTTTTGGCCCAGTGGTTCCTGAGAAGAAGATTTTCAAAGATTTTTCCTATATATTTCTATGTAAAACTTTGATTCCCTATAATGGCCCCGCCCTTCCCCCGGGGGTCATGATTCCTACAATTTAGAATTTACACTACCCCAGAATGCTTCCACATAAGTTTCAGCTTTTCTGGCCCAGTGGTTCTTGAGAAGAAGATTTTCAAAGATTTTTCCTATATATTTCTATATAAAACTTTGATTCCCCATTGTGGCCCCGCCCTTCCCCCGGGTGTCATTATTTGAACAATTTAGAATCTACACTATATCAGGATGCTTCCACATAAGTTTCAGCTTTTCTGGCCCAGTGGTTCTTGAGAAGAAGATTTTCAAAGATTTTTCCTATATATTTCTATATAAAACTTTGATTTCCCATTGTGCCCCCCCCCTTCCCCTGGGGGTCATGATTGAACAATTTGGAATCTACACTATACCAGGATGCTTCCACATAAGTTTCAGCTTTTCTGGCCCAGTGGTTCTTGAGAAGAAGATTTTCAAAGATTTTTCCTATATATTTCTATGTAAAACTTTGATTCCCCATTGTGGCCCCACCCATCCCCCGGGGGTCATTATTTGAACAATTTAGAATCTACATTATACCAGGATGCTTCCACATAAGTTTCAGCTTTTCTGGCCCAGTGGTTCTTGAGAAGAAGATTTTCAAAGATTTTTCCTATATATTTCTATGTAAAACTTTAATTCCCCATTGTGGCCCCGCCCTTCCCCCGGGGGTCATGATTTGAACAATTTAGAATCTACACTATACCAGGATGCTTCCATATAAGTTTCAGTTTTTCTGGCCCAGTGGTTCTTGAGAAGAAGATTTTCAAAGATTTTTCCTATATATTTCTATATAAAACTTTGATTCCCCATTGTGGCCCCACCCATCCCCCGGGGGTCATTATTTGAACAATTTAGAATCTACATTATACCAGGATGCTTCCACATAAGTTTCAGCTTTTCTGGCCCAGTGGTTCTTGAGAAGAAGATTTTCAAAGATTTTTCCTATATATTTCTATATAAAACTTTGATTCCCCATTGTGGCCCCGCCCTTCCCCCGGGGGTCATGATTTGAACAATTTAGAATCTACACTATACCAGGATGCTTCCACATAAGTTTCAGCTTTACTGGCCCAGTGGTTCTTGAGAAGAAGATTTTTTAATGACCCCACCCTATTTTTGTCTTTTCTTGATTATCTCCCCTTGTGAGGGGACTTGGCCCTTCATTTTAACCATTTAAATTTAACAATTTAAAGAAGTCGAAAATGTGAAAAGTTTACAGACGGACAGACAGACAGACGGACAGACAGACGGACGGACAGACGGACGGACGACGGACAAAATGTGATCAGAAAAGCTCACTTGAGCCTTCGGCTCAGGTGAGCTAAAAAGTAGGTCATGATGACCTACTTTTAAGTTGATGTTGTTTGTGGTCCCAAGATGCACCAAATGACAAAGGTTTATGATCATAGGCCTTAAAGGGTCCAAAATATGCCTCCAAATCAATTTGAAAACAAAAGCCCGTAAAATTTAAAAAGTAGGTCACCGTGACCTGAGATGCATCAACTTACAAGATTTGATGATCCTAGTCTTTATAGTAAGCAAAATATCAACGTTTTTAATAAGTGTAAATTTTGGTCCACTTTGAATTGACCCTGAGACCACGCCCTTTGCCCCAGGGTCATGCCTTGAACAATTTTTAATCTTCAACATATCCTGACCCTTGTATGCAAGTTTGGTGAAAATCTGCCCATTGGTTCTGGAGAAGATTTTTTAGCAACCAGTACTTTTAGTTTTATTTTCGTGATTATCTCCCCTTGTTTTAAGGTCCCACCCCTAATTTTAGTATAAATGGTAGCCCTTGGGCCAAGGATACCCTGTGACAAATTTGACAATAATTGGCCAAGGGGTTCTTGAGTTATGGCCCATATTCTAAAAAGTTAACGCACACCGCACGACGCACAAATGGCTATAGCATTAGCTCTTTGAGCCTTTGGCTCAGAAGAGCTAAAAATGCTCATTGAAAGACCCTTTGGCCCCTCTTCCTTTGCTGCAGTATAGTCACTCTTGATCAAATAAGGGTATTGAGAAAAAATTGATACAGAAAGACGTTGGAACTTACTACCCCCCTCGCCAAATAGGATGTTTTTTCGCTTGTCAATTTTTTTTCTGGTAAGTTGGAAACCCCCTCTTCAAACGATGCTACATGTATGTCCTTGAACAATATCTACCCCACCCAAAAATACATAATGTTCTCCATCCAAATCGTCCAGAAATGTCCGAGTCTTGAAATCTGAATAGTGGAACAAAATATTTGAATTTTAGGGTATAAAAGAAATTCTTTTAAATACCTAATAGTAGAAACCAATCAAAGAAACACAACTCTTACTAATCTCATTCTTGTTTGTGTAAATATAGAGCATAATGGAAACTTTTTAATCAATTTTTTATTGAAAGAAAACATATAAAACAAAATGAAGAATACATTCAAAACCATATATAATTACCCTTCAAAAATTTGAAGCTAATCAAAACTACTAAAGCAGCAACTACAGCTACAAACACAGAACTTATAGGCCTCCCTAAATAAGGATAATGGGTGACCAGAAATCAGAAGTTTAGCAGATTGTTTTTCTCCAAAGACCACATTATAATTTCAACTCTGCATTTAAAACTGTTTAATCAAATAAAATTTTAGCAATTGCTTGTTATTTCTGAAAAAAAAAAAAAACAAAAAAAAAAACATACTGCTCTTAGATAAAGGAGACGATGGATCAAACCTCTCAGCTTAATTTACATCAGAGTCAATCTAACTTATAATTCATGCTGAATTCAGTAAATTTTTTTCTATACCAGATAATGATGATTCCAAAGAATTTTCTCCGACTTCAAGGTTACAGTGTATTAGAGAAGATTGGCAAAAGATGGATGAATCAAGTGTTTTATGAACTGGCAAAGGTAATACCGGGTATACATAATATGAACAGAAGAGTGAACAAAATTTAAACAAATAAGCTTGCAAAAGCAAATAACAACCTCACTACATGTGCATATTTCATTCAAGACAAAGTTCATGTTCAAAAATGTTAACGAGTTCAAGTCAACTTAAAGCTTATCACCATAAAAATAAAGTAACTTCCTCTCAGAGCATCTTGTATTATCCCCCTTTCAGTGAGTGGCTCTCTTCTTTTTCCCCCTTCCCCTGGACCGTTTTTCCCTCTGGGGTTCCTCCACAACTTGTTCAATAGGATCGTACAGGTCACCCTATCCCCCCCCCCCTTCAGTGAGTGGCACTCTTCTTTTTCCCCCTTCCCCTGGACCGTTTTTCCCTCTGGGGTTCCTAGTCACAACTTGTTAAATCTAGGATCGTCATAAAACAGGTCACCCTATCCCCCCCCCCTTCAGTGTGTGGCGCTTTTCTTTTTCCCCCTCCCTTTACTGGACCGTTTTTCCCTCTGAGGTTCCTCCACTACTTGTTCAATATGATCATACAGGTCATCCTCCCAGTTCTCAGGGCTGGGCTTGGCCCGCTGAGCTTCTTCTCTCTGTCTGTCTGACCTCTAGTGAAAAAGATGAAAAGAAAGCTTGTTAAAGCTCAATTGGTTTTTCATCATAAAACACATACATGTATTAGGCTTGAGTTACTAAGGTATTAAAAGAACAGTCTAGAAAAAGAGACCAATGGACCACGATACCCTTTTGAGTAACTATGACTCTTCTGTTCATTATTAATTTAAGCTGTTTCTTTTTCATATAATTAGAGCAAAAATCTCATCACCCACCTCTTTTCTTTTCTTTGCTTCATCCTCCACGTGTTTCCTGATTTCACTAAAGAGTCCCAACATGATGTCCACATCCTGTTGTATTTCTGTATTCTGCCAGTCACATTTCTCGATTATAGTTCTGATTTTGCCATCCACCATATCCTTTTGCTTACAGCATTTTACAATGCTATAAGCCTCCCCCTTGTAATATTTTTCTGCTACCTCTGGTCCTAATTTATGCCTCTGGATGAAACTTTTCACTTCTTCTAGTGGATCTGAAATCTCTGTCTTAAATTTGCTTCTGAAGTGCTGGTAGAATTTCACCATTTCCCTGTGTTTTTCACTTCGTTCGTGATCTTCTCTGGTTTCCAGTTTTGACACTTGTGGAGCAGAATCAGTCAGTAAATCAAAAGGATTTTCAAGCAGCTTGGCAAATGGATTGTCCTTTGGTATTTCTGGACTTCGGGGAAATGGACTCTGTTGCGTCGGATCAAAATGTGGCTGTGGAAGCTTTAAAGGACTGGGAGGTTGGAGCGTCTGGGACATTTGAGACTCGGTAGAAATCTGTCTGTCCACAGGAAAAGCATGGTAAGTGGCCATCACTTGTAACTGCACTCCACAAATTCCACATTTACTGTCTGATATTTGTGCAGACTCAAACATTTTCATCCTCTCCTCATCCTTTTCCCGTTTTATTTGATCTTCTACAAGAGCAGACAACACTTGGGCTTTTGTCCTCAGGATAGATCTTCGTATGAACTCGGTGATAATTCTGCTGGCTTTATCCTCTTTCTCCTTCCTCTCCTGCTCTTGCCTATTTCGGTCTATCTTCAGTCTTTCTTCCATTGTGATCTGTGTATCCATATCATCTTGCACCACTGTCTCTGCAGTACTTAAGACCACATCATGAGGATTATTCATAGCTTGAAGTGTCTCTTCTTCCATGAAGAACTTTTTGTTGAGTTCCACAGCTTTTAGCTCCAGACTTTTTAGACCATTCCTTGGCACACCATTATCCCAGACACAATATCTCAGAGAATCATTCTCTCTCTTGGATAGCAGAATCTGGAGTGCCTTGGCTACGTCTGCTGGTCCATCTGCCTGCTGCACCAGTTTCAGAGTCTCAGAAAGTCTGCTAGGGTAATGCTCCAATACCTTGATTTTACACAGCTCTCCCATCAAAGCAGTTTCAACATCAGGAAAAACACTTTTACCAAGGTTGCAAACAAACACCAATAAAAGCACAAAAAGTCTTTCTGCTAGACCAAATCTGCTATCTTCAATTTCCTTTTCTGGACTGCTTGACTGAAAAATGTGATGCAAAAGGTTTATCCTTGAGTGAAATCCACAGAGAATTCCTATTATCCGTTTTAAACGATTCTGAAAGAGAACGGTGTCATTGGGCTTCAAGCTTCTGTGTCTGTGAACAGCTTCAAAAGTTGGCACCCCACTCTCACGAACGAAGGTGGAATCTATGAAGTAGACTACTGAAATGAAGGACTCTGGAATAACGAAAAAGAAGTTTGGCGTGTTCTGTACTTTGGCAGACAGAGAAAAAGCAACTGTGGTATAGTACTCCATCCACAAAAACAGGTGATGATAGTGAGGGAGAAGCTCTATACTTCCAGTGTTGCTCAATAAGACACAGAATTTTGTGAACTGGATAAGTGCTTCAGCTGGATCATTATTGAACCCCATTATCTGATCATACCCATCATAGAACCTTCTGGCAATGGAACGGATGTAGGTTTTCCCACTAATTTCATCTATCATCAATCCCAGCTTCATTGCCCAATCCTTTCTTCTCCTTTCGTCTCTCTTTGGACATTCCTGATCCATGGATTGTTCGAATGTAAACATAATTTCTTCAGGTTTAGGCTTGAGCTGCAGATTTAGCAAATGATTGACAAAGCGAATCATTACGAAAACTTTGATATTGTCTTTTCTCTCACTGCTTCTCATTTTGTCATACAGGTTCTTCAAGTACCTTATCATTCTTTTCCTAACATGCTGGAACTTTGGGTATCTCAACTTCCTCAGCAAATCATGAACCCTATTGGAATCTGAGGATATTTTTGCTATATGATAATTTGCCGGCAGCAGATCTTCCAGCAACCAATCACATGCTTTATATCTTTCTGCTAGATCTCCTGGAATGAAACAAGACAAATCTACTTCTTTGTTTCTTTCATAAACGTCTTCTGCACCATGATCAACATACATTTCAAGTTCAACAGCCAACATGTCAAATTCTGTCAAAAGATCAAAACTCTTGGGTGTTACAGAGACATGAAGGTAAGGACAAGGAGATTCATCTCTACATTGTTCCCCAAGCTTGAAGGCTGGACACTGACTCCTTCTGTTCCTGTTTGTAGTGATGGCCTCTTCTAGTCTCCTCTTCCATTCAATCCCTCTCTTTACCAGAAATTTGCTAATCTCTATCTGTACCTTCATCTTATTCTCTTTACATCTAAAATCTTGCTTGGATGTCTGATGCAAAACCAACAGTGCTCTTGGAAGTTGTTTAGGATAATAAACAAGACTATTGTCATCATCAGCTGGATAAAACCCAAAGAATTTGAAGATTTCTTGAAGGCGATATCTTTCCTCTTCATTGATAGGTTTTGCAAGTACCACCAAGACTCTGAAGAGGTTTTGCATTCCCAGTATACACTGCTTAAGATTAGTCCTGTTCATCAAGTCAGAGTTGTGGACCATCCAATGCATGCACTCCAATTGCCCTGCCTCTGATCGAGTTGGCCGAGAATGAGAAAATTCTCCGAAAGCCTTGTTAATGAACTCTGTATTCCCAGTGAGTTCCCCTCTCAGAAAAGCCGCTTCTCCTGCAGCTACCTTGTTCTCCAAATCATGAAGATTGTAAAACGCCTGATTCAGATTTTCACAGATTTCACTCTTCTCTTCTTCATCAATGTCCTCATATTTATCATACTGGCTCAGCCTTACTTTGCTGTCTAGGATCAAACTCTGTCCAACTACATCCTTGTCTCCTAACTTCTGGGCACACTCCAAAGCTTTCTTGTTCATGCCTCCTTTAGAATACAGATCCACTGCTTCCCTGAGCTTTTCTGAAACAAAGAGACAATAAAAATATAAAAGTGAACAGAATACCAGTAATAAAATTTCAGTTTGTATTGTCTTTGAACAGAAGATTGTCTTCATATTCTTTTGAAACTACCTCTCACCTGCAAACTCAAACTTCAAAATCTAACTGTTTACACCTACCTGCATCCTGAAACAGATTTGCTGCCTCCTCTATGTAACTTTTGCGGATCAGGAAGTCCGTTCTCTCCTCTAGCTTTGGCAGACGACTGAGGGCAGCCATCATTTTCTCCTTGTTCTTGGAGCGATGGTAAATCTCCGCTGCCTTAAAACTCAAACTTTCTACTGTGTGCAGCTTTCTTGGAGCATTTTCTCTCAGAATCTGTGGCAGTGGTATTCTTTTTCTTTCCAAATCCTTAAATTTTACAGAAATCATGGATAATAAAAAAAAAAAAATTCCAATGGAAAGCAATGTGATATGTCAGAATTAAGGAAAAATTTGCAAAGTTACTTCTGTTCTCCTTGACAGGCAGATTACACGGCAATTTCACACAAAAGTTTTGAAATTGATGAGAAAACTTTAAACAAACAAGATTATCTCCAGCAATTATAAGGCCATAATAAATAAATTGCTAGATTCTCATCCGAGTTTTTTTAAAAATCGAGGCGGGCGGGTGGCTCTTTTATATTATATTTTTTATTTTTTCAATTTTGCAGATTTTTTATTGACCTGATCAATCGCTGTAATTTGAAATATCATTATAAATCTGCCCTTTTTTAAAGAGTCATACAAAAAGGTTAGAATTTTTCTCTTACTATATTTTCACATCCCACCAATGATTTTTCATAACCAATTCCCTTGTTTAAAATATATACAGCTTTGTATTACAGCAATTACCATCATTTCAGCTGTCAAAATCATGTCATTTTGCGAAGGATTTAAAACGAAAGTAGAATGGTACATGAAACCTAATTAACCCGATCTATAATTAAGACGCAATAAGCACACAGAAATGAAAAAAAATCGAGAGCGGGGGTATTTTCTCATGTGGGCGGAAGCGGGCTACTTCATGAGAATGCTTCAGGAATATTTTTATTATGGCCTAAACTACACTTGATAAAAACCTCCCCATTAAATACCTCTTTCAGAAGTTTGTATCTCTGCAGTGTATCAATAGCCATTTCATACAGATCATTTTCTACTAAGGTATCCACAGCTAAGTTGAATTTTCCCAACTGTTCATAGCACCTACTGCCTTCAGCAGGACGCTTCAGTTTTCTATACGTCTCCCCAGCTTTTTCAAGCTATAATATTCAAAATTGAAATATTCATTACTTTAAATCTGCTTCTTTTTTAAAGATTGTCAGTGAACAAAAACCAGTTAGAATTTTTCTACTTTACTTTTTCTTACTACCCACCTGATTGATTTTCTCATACAGGTGAGCCACCAGTTCCTTTTCTCGTGAATTCTGCAGACAGATGACAGCTTTGTTGGGAAGTTCACATTCCAGGAATTTCTCAGCAGCCCTCAGGAAAGCCTCCCTCATTTTGGAAGGATTTTCCTTCATTCTGGAACACAATGAACAAAATCAGTTGAACTGATTTTATGCGCCTACACTGAAAGCCTAATTAACTGGTGCCTCTATAATACTGTGTATTGCAATAAGCACACAGACCTTGAAGCAACAAGAGCAGACTGATGAGCCTGGGCTATTTTCTCCATGTGGAAGTCCTTCCCTCGATTGAAGCACTTGGCTGCTACTTCATACAAAGAATGCTTCATGAATTCCTCTCCTCTCTTCAGCCATTCCTCTAGTGTTGACTCTTCTGCAAACATCCCACCTGCTGTCTCTGAAATATGTAATCATTTATGATGAAGAGTTTTAATGTTGGACAGGTGCTAATGATTTTGACTACATATTTATTAAAAAAGATGATAATCATCATATAAATGTTTTTTTATTCAATACCATCTTCCACTTCTGAGCTTGTAATAATCCTTGTGAGTTTGCGAGCTTTAAAGTACTCAAACATAGGTGCTCGTTTGTCCATGTCCTCATCAAAGATCCAACTGAACACAGGTGTTACACCTTTGTGTACACAGTATAAGGTGCTTCATCTTTCAGCAATTAAAATTGTGTTGGCCAATCTTTGTATGCCAGTAATTCAATGTAAATTATACGGTCAGCATTTATTGCTTGAATTCTTGCTTAAAAAATACTGCTCTTTGACAATGTAAAAAATATTTGGACACAGTGAAAGACCAGAAGTCTCTGAAGACTGTAGCTCTACTGGTTTAAATTTACAGAACACCAGTACTTTGTAAAAACATGCATTTGGACATGAACAAGAAAATTAAACATGTTGTAATCTTGAAACAAACCAATGCATATTTCTTAAAATTTTGATACCGTTGCGGTTTTACTTTTAGTAAACGGTGATAACTTCACAAGATGGATACTGCATGATGTTAATGGCTAATACATTGAGGAATTATTTAATAGATGAAGCAATGTTGTTTTCCTTTGTCATCAACGGATAATTAATGGAATTTATTTTGTAAGAAAGCTATAGAATAAATATGTTATTGTTTACCTGGGCATTAATTTTTCTGTGTAAAATAATGAAAAAAGTTATGAAAGTGGCACAGATTTGCTTTGAAATTGATGTAAATTTTATTGATTTTGGAGCAGAACTTGATCCTTAGAAAAATTCGTATAATCTCTGAGAAAAAAAGTATCGACCTATTATCCGAAAATTACGGTAGAAGCAAAAGAACACCTGCCTCATAATGGAATAACTTTATAAATTATTTATATTCGTTTTGCCTATTCAAAGTTTACCTGCATCAATTTCTACCAAACTCTCGGAGGTGTCTGGTTTGTTCTGTGCATTATTTGCTGCCAACTTCTCTAGATACTCAGTCACCACTCTCCACTCTTTCGTGGCCTACCAATGATGCAAAATGTTTCATCAATTTTATCTTAACCATTAATTATTCTTAGGAATACTCCAGTTCAAACACCTTTTTTAAATAAATACAAAACAATAAAATACAGCTAATAGGAAAAATCCAGTCCCCGCCCTACCTGTGAGTCTTTGAAGAAGTTATATAGGAGTATGTCATCAAACTCCAGACCCTTGGCCTCGTAGATTGTCAGAATGAGCCCGAGGTTTAACTCCTCTGGAATGTTCTCCCTCGCTGCATCATTCACCACTAGGATAGCCTGGTGAGCTCCAAACTCAATGTGAGACGTCTTTCTCTTATTCCCTCTCAACAGCACTGCCAAATCACTGTGAATGAATTAATTATTACTTAAAAAGACACTTCTACAATGTTTCATTCATAAAAATACTTTTTCTCAAGTGATAAAAAGCTGCAGATGTACCTTTTTCCTGGAAATTAGCCACAGCATACTTAAAATGCATTAAATACATCAAATGACAAGCCATTAAGAGTGATGGTTCAAGTGTCTTTTTTTAGCCAATACAGTCAATTCTCGAATTATCGCCATTCGATTCATCGCCATTTTCGCAATACCGCCACGATTTCGCAAGAACGTTTTTCCTGCTATATAAAATTCTCTTTATAACGCCAAATTCGCATATCGCCATCCGCCACCCTGTTTTCACAACAAACGTCCATTTTTAAGTGTTAATTATCTCGATATACCGCCACAGGTGCATGTGGTCAGTGAAGCGTGGCTAATTGGTTGACACTTCCCCTGTTGTAAAGTATGCAAACCCAGCAAGGTACATGCAATTAAATAATTAAATAAGATTTAAATAAACAATAATTTTAACATGAACTGTTATAATAACTTTGTATTCCGTTTAATAAAAAATCATTTAGTCACGGCTTCGCCACTGTGACGAAAGCGGTCTTTGTTAAAGTACACTGATATAACGATATTATTTTGATGATCTCTGCTTTAAACTTTAAAAAATAATTATACGGTATAAATTGTGAACGTTTCATTAACAATGATGCCATAAACAATGAATTTATTCAAGAATTCATTTTACCTACTATCGGCAATATATCACGACGATCGACCCAACACGTTATTTTTTCAATATCAGACGTGCAGATTTATATACAAAGAAATGTACTTGTCTTTATTTCACAACTGCACATTTTGTTTTGGCAAAATTGTACATATAAAAGTATTTTCAAATTTAGAAATATGTTTTTATATACATGTACGTGTAATGATAAGAATAGAAACACTAAATGGTATTTCTAAGAACGGTAACTCTTCTTCTTGTTTCCTAAAAGATGGGACATTCAATTCATCGCCAAATTCGTTATACCGCCATGATTTCTAAAGTACAAAAGGTGGCGGTTTATCGAGAATTAACTGTACTATAATCTGTGAGTATTGTCCTCCTTGGGTCAATAAATTATCATATGGACCTCATTACAGCAATAATTGTTTAATCTTTTATCATCACATCTCTGGTAATTGCAAAGTGCATTTAGGTTAAATTATGTAATTGAATTTAAGGGTGGAAGTCTTTATAAAAATTTTACAGGCACAAATCCACAAAAATACCTGAAGCTACAGGACTCCAGTAATACAGGAGCAGGTCCCTGGAACAGCCCTTGGTCTTTCTGAAGTCGATCAAAGGATTCTGGGAAGAATTCCACCATTAGTTCTAGAATACTGGAAGCTAGAGACAGAATACCCGCATGGGAACGATAATTGTGAGTCAGCTGGTAAACCTACAAGATTTTGAAAAAGTCAAAATTATAATAGTTCTGGAAATGAATAGACAGTGCATTCCACTACACTATAATACTCCTTTATATACAAAAGTTATTTTGCTATTTTTGAATATTTTTTGGGGGGTGGGGACTTTATGGTTGAGGTAGTTTTATACCAAATAAATTCATTCATATGGAACATCTATATATTCCTGTGAAGGGCTACAAATTAGATCTTTACTCAGCACTTCATGCAATTGATCAATGAGGGTTCTTTTCATCTATTAATGAATAATGAAGAGGACGTAAATTACTTTTTCTGCCAGTGACCTTGACATTATCAGAATAACCTTGAGTCAAAGTCACAACACACCTCTAGGAAATAAGCAATCTTTGCATGAAGCAATTCCAACTCGAATGTTTCTCCATTATGGAGCTATGGACCAGAGACACACTTTAAACTTTTTCTGCTAGTGACCTTGAACTTACTTAAATGACCTTGGATCAAGTAAAAACACACTCTCAGGTTGTAACCAATCCTTGCATCAAGGATGTGCTTTTAATGCTTCTCAACACATAGTTATAGCCCAATCAAAACTGCATGGTCAGATGGATGGATGGAATGCAGACAGATGGACATGGTGATTACTACATACCCCTAATTTCATTTGCAGTTGGTATAATTACCTGTTTTGGCACTTTAACACCAGATGCCTTGCCAATAGCATGCATGGATCTCTTGGCATAGAAGAAGAGAGAGCGGAGATCGTTGAACCTAAAGGCTATTCCTCTCATGATGCTCTGTGCTGTGTCGCCCGTCAGGAACATCTCGTTTGGTGACTGACACACCCGCAGAAGGAGGCACAACTCAGCCTGTGTAAAGTCCTGTGTCTCATCTACGTAAATCTGATGTATGATCCACTTCATTTCTTTCTCCTTTTTAAACCTACAAAGCAATTTCAATATGTTTGTCAGAATTCTATGAATCATAAATATCTGCTTTGTCAGTAAAGTATCCTAAACAGAACTTGAAATGTGGAATCAAATTAGCATGAAGTTTTTGTACCTAACACAATACAAAATTTTTTAACACAAACCTATTATAGACATTTTGCACCAAATCAGTTTCATCAAACAGAAATTTTTGGCTCTTGAAGTGGTCATACTTCTTAAAAATCTCATAAATGTGCTCTCTTTCCCCAGAGAAATTAGGAGCCCTTTTTCTTCCTAAATCCAAGTATTCCTGTTTAGACAAGTGTCCATTAGGCTTGGAGAGAGCTTCAAACGAGCCCCTGATGAAGGACATGATTTCCATCCAGATGAGAGATGGGTGATAGCGCCCTGACCACTTTTTACTTATTCTTGGCCAGATTTCCTCAGCAAACACTTCATACGTGACCTCCCTCCTTGGGTCCACTTTCTTGCGGGGGCGGGCTCCAAGATCTTGATCTTCATCACTGTTGGCTTCATCTTCATCTGCATCTTGGTACTGGTCATCCTCATCTTCTTCATCATCTGAAACCTCCTCTAACATCGGGAGGAAGCTTAGAGCCCCATCTGTTTCTGACCATCCTTGGACATCCACCTACAATGTACACAGTATTCCTGAATTTCAAAATCATCACACATTATTAATCTTACATTAGTAAGGGAAAACCAATTCAGTCCATGTAAAGAAACTATCATAAGTTAACCTTTAAACTTCCATCTTCATTTCTGTCAAAGAAGTATGGTGGTTCTAGGGAAGCATCCAGCATCAGGAGCAGTTTCTTTGATGTGGTGAATACTGGGAACTGGTAATCACCAATGTCCTGTATCCTGTTAGGAAGAACCTGGTCCTCCATGGAAACAAAGTTCTTAGC